GTGTGTGTGTGTGTGTGTGTGTGTGTGTGTGTGTGTGTGTATTTACACGCAATTGTGAATACCTGTATATAGCCCCACTCACTGCACCTGCCCTTTGTTATACACACCTACTGTACGCAATGACTATTGCCTTGCCGTCCATCGCTACCTACTACAACCACTATTCGCTACACTTTGTCTCCGCTCCAATTGCTGATATCTGCGCTCTGGCCGTGCCTGATATCGCGATAGTCCGATGCTGAGTCACTCTCGGGAGAGTACAGACCCACGGCAACAGAGCATATAACTTTGGGTGTACTTGTCCCAGTTTATTGGGATGGGGTCAGCCAGTCGCCTGTAGCCACTGATTACCACTGCTTGTCTGTATGGCAAAACAAGGTTTGGATGTCTGACCCATGGGTTTGGATGTCTGATTCGTGGTAGTAGACAATTAAAAAGGAATGCGGAATTTGCGGCTCCTGTGCGAGTGTCCAGGTGGGGTCTTCCTTGTTGGTTCGATACCAATTTCTAAGAGACTATATCATTTAGATGCCTGATTCGTGGTAGTAGACAAATAAAAAGGAATGATGGACTTTGCAGTTCCTGCGCGAGTGTCCAAGTGAGGTCTTCCTTGCTGGTGCGATGTCAAAGGCAGACCGACTTCAAATCTGCGGTTTCTAAGAGACTATCTCTATCATTTAGATGCCTGATTCAGTGGTAGTAGACAATTAAAAGGATTGATGGACTTTGCAGTTCCTGTGTGAGTGTCCAGGTGAGGTTTTTCTTCTTCTTGCCATGCCAAAGACAGACCGACTTCAAACCTGAGGTTTCTAAGAGACTATCCCTATCATCTAGATGCCTGATTCGTGGTAGTAGACAACTAAAAAGGAATGACTGGCTTTGGGGTTCCTGTGCGAGTGTTCAGGTGAGGTCTGCCTAGTTGGTGCGATGCCAAAGACAGATCGACTTCAAATCCGAGCTTTCCCCGAGACTTGTCTCTGAACAATACCTTGCCTCCACTACACCACCCCGTGCCACCCACATTCACAATACCATCGTCTGTACTAAACATTTAGGTCATACTGTTCGCTATGGATTCGGGTACACTCTTTTCCCGGCCGTACACTTATGCAGAATGCTTGTCTGAGCTATCCATGCATACGCCTATGTGCACCACGATTACACCCGCCTTCTGCCATACATACGTGTGTATCTGTACACGTACTAGCACGCATACGCACACAGCCGCAGATGCGTTGCTTGCCACCAACGTATGCATGTGTTTGGACACATTTCCCACTTAATCTCGTTTACACACCCTATCAGATGTTTTCAAGCCATGAATGCAGGTATGTATCTGTATGCATATCTCACATACACATATACGTACATCCATTCAGATACGTTTTCAGCAATAAATGCAGGTACGTATCAGGATGCAGACCCCACATACACATCCACGTACGTCTATTCATATACGTTTCTTGCCCGTGGCCGGTACACCATCACACACCGGCGAGGGTATATCCGGCAGCAGTGTGAGTAGGTAGATCACTACAAAGTGCGCGCAGCTGTATGTGGTAATCAGTAGAGTCCACAGATCCGGGAGTCTTGCCGGGGGGGGGATGGCGAGATCGCAGCCAATCAGAACAACGCAGCCGAATGCCGATAGGTACAGCTGTGAAGGTGAAGGGGTGCGAGTGTAGGTTAGTGCATATATGCGGGGCAGGTAACGCGCTCGTGTGAGGTATGGTGGGAAGAGTGGTATCATCTATCAACCCTCTGGATACTTGCCGTAACACCAAGCTGGTGACATGCAAACAACGTTAGAATGACCATTTAGCGCCGCTTTCCCACTTCCACGGCTTCTTAAAGTGGCACCGAGCTCATCTCATCGAATATTAATGTCGAAAAGGACAAACCCAAATCCACACCCGAACCCATCAGGACTATATTGCCCCAAAAACCCTACGTAAAAGGTGCGGGCTTCTCAATTGTACCTACCAGGTGAGTGGCCCTCTGAGACCATTCGCCTAGACGGTCCACGTGCGACCACACAAGCGGTTGCACTGCCAGTAGATATATCACAGCCACCGCTAGCAGATACAGACCCGAGCCTTCACGCTTGATGAGGGGGTAAATACTGTGGGTAGGCGGAAAAGGAAGACATATAATGTGAATTTTATCATCCACGCTGTCACAGCCACCGCCAGCAGATACAGACCCGAGCCTTCACGCTTGATGAGGGGGTATACACTGCGGGTAGGCAGAAAAGGAAGATATAAAATGTGAATTCTATCATCCACGGTTTGTCAGTGCGTATGTGTTGTGGTAGGGATGATACAATGACAATAACCGAAATGAGAAGATAGTACTACAGCAAGGCCGACGCGGGCGTATACACGTATAAGTAAAAATATATAGATGATATAAAAAACAGACATGTGTTACATAAACGCACAAGCACACGTACTCATACACATACATGGGCAGAAAATGTAGTCGATTGTACTCAGCCAGAACCCCTACCTAATAAAGCCATAGGTGTTGACAAGGACCGAAACCAGAGGATAGTGTAGCAGCAGGGCTGACGCAGGCATAACGGGCAACAAGATGGATTTCTGTGCATAGGTGGTAGTCAATGCGCACATAAGAATAGTGGCACCACCAAGGACTAACTGACGAATGGACCCAAGTACGCTCGCATGATCTAGGAAAAGGTCTAGGTTAGTAGTTCCAGCAAGTGCTGACTGAGGGGTGGACAGAAGAAAGCTGCCATGATATGCGAAACCCTTGACCCCCTAGCCCTGGACTTCCTGACCCTAACCCTGGCCACCCTACCCCTGGCCACCCTAACCCTGGACACCCTAGCCCTGGACATCCTAGCCCTGGACAACCTAGCCCTGGACACCCTAACCCTGGACACCCTAGCCCTGGACACCCTAGCCCTGGACACCCTAGACACCATAGCCCTGGACACCCTAACCCTGGACACCCTAACCCTGGACACTATAACCCTGGACACTCTAACCCTGGACACCCTAACCTAACCCTGGACAACCTGTCCGATATTCTCGACGCCTTTTGACTCACCTCATGCACGTGGTACGACACCAGGAAAAAGGCCAGGGAACAGTTCAGCAGCGTCACTAAGAAATTCTTCGCAGTCGGATTCTTTACCAAGTGTATGCACTTTGGCGCGGCCAAGGCTAACGTTGACACCATACTGTGACAGGGTTGGTAGGAATACGCTTTAGTTGTCTGATATTCTTATTGTATTGTGCGGGTAAGGCTATCGTTGACATCATACTGTGACATGGTTGGTATAAATCCGCTTTAGTTATCTGATACTCTTTATTGTATTGCTGCGGTCAAGGCTATCGTTGACACCATACTGTGACAGGGTTGGTATGAATACACTTTAGTTGTCTGATACTCTTATTGTATTACTGCGGTCAAGACTAATGTTGACACCATACTGTGACAGGGTTGGTATAAATACGCTTTAACTGTCTGTTATTCCTATTGTATTGTGCGGGTAAGGCTATCGTTGACACCATACTGTGACAGGGTTGGTATAAATACGTTTAACTGTCTGTTATTCCTATTGTATTGTGCGGGTAAGGCTATCGTTGACACCATACTGTGACAGGGTTGGTAGGAATACGCTTTAAACTGGCAATTGTTCTTATAGTATTGTCCATGGTGTAGCACAACACACAACACGCCCATAGACTGTGCACGTGTTTGGTAACAAAGACATTACCATAACCTGGCGAGTGTGTTCTTCGAGTACAGTTGCATCAGCTTTACGGCAGGTGATATGGAGCACCAAATATTCGCCACCTGTGATGATGGAAGTTCGGGTGGCACACGGGTGAGCTATGGTGTAAGAGATGAGTGGGGACTGCAGAACGGACGAGCTGAGTTGGCTTGCTTTGTATACAGCCCACAATAGCGCAGGCGTAGGACTTTCCCTGAGATTCTAATTGAAGGGTATAACTACGTGAGAGTGTGTGGAGGTGTGAACATATTGTTGGGTTACAGAGATTTATGCATATAAATATATCACTGATAAAGAAAAATTGATACGTTCATGTCCGTACATCCACATATAACCTCACTTCTCCCAACTATCTAATATTGCAATACATGATTGTCCCAATACATACGAGTGTAAATACCTCACACGATCTCAATATTATCTCTCGACGAACATGCATCGAACTTAACACCCACCACTCTCACTTTGTCTTCGTATAACATTTTCCTAACTAAAAAAAAATACCACTCAACAATTATCCATTGAACTTACCACCCACCACTCCTACTTCGTCTTCGTATAACCTTTTCCCAACTAAAAATATCATCGCCCAACAATTATACATTGAACTTACCACCTACCACTCCCACTTTGTCTTCGTATAACCTTTTCCCAAGTAGAAATATTATCACCCAACAATTATACATTGAACTTTCCACTCACCACTCCCACTTTGTCTTCGTATAACCTTTTCCCAACTAGAATTACTATCACCCAACAATTATACATTGAACTTATCACCCACCACTCCTCCTTGTCTTTGTATCTCAACTTCCCAACGGGAAATAATATCACTCAACAAATATAATCCGAACCTATCAAATACACATCGCACTTGCCACACAACGTCCCTACCTTGTCTTCGTATAACCCTCTCCCAACCGGAAATATGCGTTTAACCAAAGCTGTGACAGACTCCATATCCGACGCCACCGGTAGAACACACAGCACTACAACTGTGATGACCGCCCCGCCTATAGCAGCTACTCGCGACGTTGCAATGGCCCTGTATGTGGAGTGAAACAACATGTGCCTGTGGTTATCTATAGATATATATATATATATATATATATATATATATATATATATTGTATGTATATGTAGTATATTATTATATTATATAGTAGTAATATATATATATGTGTATATAGTAACACAATCAACTTCCCAAGTAGGGTATAGATGTGCCACTCATTTTCTCGGGAAAATGCCAATGGCACATCAGCAAGACATAAGTCACCATTTAAGTGAACGTCTGCACTACAAACAAATTGCAGCCCCTCATATACATCTGTGTTGCGTACATGTTAGATGAGGTGTGTAACCTTACCATTCTATCCATCTGTGAGATGAAGATGAAGAAGCTAACCTCTTTGACTATCGTTTGTGGCGGTTTAACTATGCGAACTAACTGTACGTGCGACGTTCATCAATTAAACATGCATATGAGCCTGTCTCCCTTAATTCACCGTAACCTCGGCTGAATCCTGGTGAAGAATTCGGAGATACAACTTACCAGGTGTCGCTGTAACGCACAGCCTTCCCCAGAAGAAACGCAAAGAACGGCAGCGCAAAGTAAAGACTCATCTGCTTATACATAAACGATCCCACGAAGCAACCGGCCCCCATCAACTCATACACTTCGACCACTCGTTGCCCATCCTCTGTCTCATTGTCTCCGCTTTCGCCGTCTATTATGAATGTGTCATGTTCCAGAAGTGATGTTTCCATGAGTTTCGGTGCAGAGTGCGTCCCACCCGTCTACTTGAATGTGTCACGCACATAGGCAGATGTTGGTATGAACTTCTTGGTAAGAGTGTGTGGGAGCGTGCTATAAAGGGAAGGCCATGTGGGGTGTTTAGATGCCTCGCACTACTCACAATCGACAACACATACATAAATACAGACATCATCAAGCAGATTTCTTTACGCACGGCAGATCTACCCGGCACCTACTTATGAAAATTGCGCCTTAAAATGAATTATAAGCTTAATAAAT